AGGTGCGAAAGACCAACAGAGTCGCAAACAGGAAGCCATCAGGGGCTTCCGCCAGAGCAATTTCAGGTAATGGTGGGGGCGAAAGCAGGAAACGGTGGGAGATGAGAGAGACGGGAGGATGTGGACAGCACAGACTCAGTGGTGGGCAAGGGCCAGGACAAGAAGAGAGGAGGTGGGGGGGGGGGTGCATGGGCACAGCAGCGTGCTGGCTTTCCTGTTCCGTTTTGGTTTTATAAACACAGTTGATAAAAAGGCTGTGGTGTATCTACACCATGGACTACTACGCAGCTGTAAAATAAGAAGGCTCTCTTACCCTTTGAGACAGCAAGGAGGGACCTGGAGAGTATTGTGCTAAGCGAAATAAGCCATTCAGAGAAGGACAAGTATCCATGACCTCACTCCTATGAGGAATCTAATGAACGGAATAAACTGATGAAAAAAACAGATCCAGAGACATAGAAGCATGGAACAGAGTGCAGAATCTCAGAGGGCCGGCAGGGGAGGGTGGATGGGGAGAGATTAACCGAAGAACTTATACGTATACCAGTGCCCCAGTGCATGGATTTGTGCACTGGTGGGGGACATGGCCTGTGGGGATCGGCCCTCTGTGGGAGCAGCCGCTCATCCTGGTCAGCTGAGCGAGTGGTGCTCCCACTATGGGAGCCCACTGACCACCAGGGGGCAGCTCCTGTGTTTAGCATCTGTCCCCTGGTGGTCAGTGTGTGTCATAGAGACTGGTCAAGTGGTTGTTCTGGTCATTCCACTGTTCAATCTCTGGGCTTTTATTGTAAAGGGTGTCCCAAAATTCACGCAAAAAGTAAAATAAACCAAGTAAAATTAGGCTTTTATTATTTTGTTGTTGTTGTTGTTGTTAATGCTCACGCAAAATTCAAATCTTGAGTGAATTCTGGAACACCCTTTATAGGACTAGTGCCCAGGTGCATGGATTAGTGCACACTGAAAGGAAATTAATTAGAAGGTGGCCGGCAGGGCGGGACTGGGCGAGACAGGCTGGACACGCCCTGGAGCCAACCTCCCATGGTCCCTCCCTGACCGGCCACACCTAGGGTGGCACCACAGCTCGAATGGCGTCTGCAGAGTGAGCGGGATTCCTCTGGCAGGAGGGGTCCCTCAGCTGGCCTGCGGGGATCTCCAGCTCCCCGACATCCCCTGAGGGGTCCCGGATTGCAAGAGGGTGGTTCTTGGGTGACGCACCCAGAATCAGGCTCCCTACTCTCTGGTGCCACAGTGCATCACCCAAGAACCGCCACTGCCAAGTCACTGCAGCTCAGAAGCTCCTGCATTGAGCATTTGACCCCTGGTGGTCAGTGCACATCATAGCAACTGGTTGGACAGTCAAAGAGTTGCTTAGCCTTTTATATATATAGATATGCTTAACCATGGACACAAACACTATGCAGTGAAGGACCAGGGTGGGGAAGGAGGACGAGTATGGGGTAGAGAGAGTCAATGCGGGGGGAAAGGGACATCTGTAATAGTTTCAACAATAAAGATAAATTTAAAAGTAAGCAGTTTTTGGGAGTGGGTCTCCCAGGACCTGCTCCACCCCTGACTGAGAGCACTGAGCGTGTGGTGGGCCGAGGGAAACGGCCAACAGAGAGGGAGGGATAACTAGTATGGAGAGGAGGGCAGGTAACCCAGGAGCTGCAGGCAGGAATGACAGGGCACATGGGTGCTCAGTGGCCTGGGCCACAGGAGGGACTCCTCCCTCCTGTCCACCTGTAAGAAGTGTGCTGCCTGAATGGCTCACCAGCCTCTCTTAAAAGTTCCAAAATTTTGATATGGAATCATTTCAAAAGGGAAGATGTCAGGAAAAAAGTAACTCCTGAAAGAGGGACCAAGTTAAAACCACCACTAATAATGTCAATAAATACAGCTGACATGCAGAGCACCTACTACGCACCAGACACCGTGGGAAGCACTGATGTGTGCCGCGCTGCGCCCTCCTGACAGTGCTATGAGCTGGGTGAGGTCACTGCCCCCTCACAGACGGAGGCACACAGGTAAAGAAGCATGTCCTAGCTGGTTTGAGGCTGAGCTGGAGCTGGGAAGGAAAAGGAATGTCTGTCCCTGGCGTGGGAAGTGGGCAATGCCCCAGTGCCCTACAGAAAGCTTGGACATGGGCGTCCACGTGGCGCCGGGAGACGCTGGGAGGGGAAACACCAGGCCCACAGGGGATCCCTCTTTGCATCCCAGGCCCTGGCTCAGGCCTGGCCTGGAGTCCCATGGGGTCAACACACACTCCCACGTATGCTTGGTGGATGACGGATGTCAAAACCATGGTCCTCGAAAGTAATAACCCCTATCCGGCAGTCCTGACTGGCAACAGATATCCGGAGACGGTAGACACTACTTTCAGCCATTAAAAAAAGGCATGCTGTGAAATTTACAGCAGGGACGTGAAACTGGCATCACGCATTATCATTTACCTCTTTCCGAAAACACATCCGGTGCCCACAGACGATGACTTCAGCTGCATTGTGCAAAGTGAGAAACACAGGAATGGCCTGAAAGGAAACAGAATAAGAAGCATGAAAATATTTTCTGTGATCTCATGATTACATAATTCTTGATTTCTGCTTAAAAATAAAGATCCGTGGGAACTTTTGGCATTCACATATACTAGTATATATAATCATCTCCAGCAACACCCGTCTGCATGGACTGGTGCTCTTGGTTGGAGTACTGTGCTAGGTGAGGTGGATGTAGAGGCTCCCTTCCATGGCTATTCCATCAACACACAGTTACTAAGCATCTGCTGTGTGTCAAGCACTGTGCCAGGTACAGAGGCCACATCCCGTGAATAAGTGGACACCTGCAAGATGGACTGGCCTGCTCTCAGTGGATATGCATTGGTCCTAAAGAGCAAATCTGGAAAGGGAACAGGCCAGAAGAGCTGCCACTGTCCAGACCACTATCTAAACCACTGTCTAGACCACTGTCCAGACCACTGTGTAGACCACTGTCCAGACCACTGTCCAGACCACTGTCTAGACCACTGTCCAGACCACTCTCTAGATCACTGTCCAGACCACTCTCTAGACCACTGTCCAGACAACTATCTAGACCACTGTCCACACCACTCTCTAGACCACTGTCCAGACCACTGTCTAGACCACTGTCCAGACCACTCTCTAGACCACTGTCCAGACCACTCTCTAGAACCAGAGGCAGATGACCAAGACTTGAAACACTTGAGTTCCGTCTTCTGTCAGGCGATTACCATCTGCCTCACCCATCACCTATCAGGTGACTATGAGAAACACATACAAATATACAGGGGAAAAATCACTCTAGAAACATATGAAAAAGCACTGTGCAACAAAAAAAAGTTATTATTAGTATGCACTTTTGTTATTCAAACTTCAAAATTCTGGCATCAGTAACTACCCAGATCCTACAAAACCTTTAAAACCTTTGGACAACACAGTTTTTTTACCCAGTGCTCTACTCTGCAGAGGAGAGGAAGCCCCCAGGTCACAGCTGCAAGTAAGGCAGCAGACTCGCAGGAGGGCACAGCATCAAGCAGAGGCTGCCACGGCCAAGCCAGCACAGCTCCAGGTCTGGCTGAGTGCCGACAGGCACGGGGTCATTTCTCAGCCCACCCAGGACGTTTCTCCCCCACGGCACACAGCAGCCCATCTACTCAGGCTTATAAATCGTGAAAGAAAAATGTTGATTTAATTTATAAATTACTGCTTTTAATTCTCAACCACTATTTTGCAACTTGGGAACTGTCCTAGCCGTAATATTGTTATCCAGTTAGGCAGATCTCGTTTGTTTTATTACTGCTTTCACATAACAACAAACTTTATATAAAAGGCTTCAACTGTTCTATAAATATTGCATTTTCCAAAATCAGGAATGCAATCATTTTCCGACAGATAAAAACAGTTAGTCCCAGGGTAAAAAACGGAAAGAGGTTAATCTAGCCATCGTGGCTCAGTGGTTGAGCATTGACCTCTAAACCAGGAGGTCAAGGCTCGATCCTCAGTAGGGGGCGGGCAGGAGGCAGCCTATCGATGATTCTCTTGTATCATCGATGTTTCTCTCTCCCTCTCCCTTCCTCTCTGAAATTAATAAAAACTTATTTTTTAAAAAATGGGAAGAGGCATTACTATCGTTAGATTTTTTTTAAGCCACATTCTCAGTCTCTGGTCAGTGGTGGTATGAAAGGTTATTTTTTGATAGCAAAATAACTAAAGTTTTGGAGTCCCATATAACGTAACTAGAAGAAGTTTGTTCTTCACAGTTCCCAGCTTTGAGCTCAATCCAGGGGGACAGGGTAGGATAGAAGAGAGGCTCTTTTCACTGGCATCCCATGCTACTGGGCATCAACCCTGTACCAGGCACGTATCTCCACGCCTGAACCCAGCACGGCCCGGCCACATTACCCAGGGGCAGGGTTACCGTTCCCCGGAAGCAAGGGGCAGGCTAAGCCCTCTCCTGGCCCGAGGACAGCCCTATCAACAGCTCCCCGAAGTCACCATCACCCTTATTCTTGCGCCTCCACCTGTGCATCTCTTCGTCTAAAAGAAGCCGGCCCTTCCCTGTTGCCTGTTTGTCTTCAATCCAGGGAGAGAGAGTGGGTCACGGCCCATGTGCCTCAGGTCCAGGGCTTGCTCTCCACTCAGCTATACCATTATCAAAACTTTGTCCCATTAACCGGATGCAATAAGCTAGCAGACAGGGAGGCAGAAGAGACAAGAGAAGGGCTGTCCCCCAAAACCTCCAACACTCACCAGTCTGGATAATGCTCTGGAACCGGCGTAGATTATGCCCACAAACAGCACCGAAGCAGGAAGCCACGCCAAAACATCAGATCTAGAAAGAAGAAAAGAGGCCATAACACTTCCGTCACTTTGTGGCCAAAGCCTTCGTTGGAAGGAATTACCTTCAGGTGCCCCAGATGCAGTGACAGCAGCTATTACACATCCCTGGGGGAGTCGAGCAGTGTGACAAGTGTATCTCTGAGGGTGATGGAGGCCACTCGGCCACCTACCTAGTGGCAGTGGTCCCACCGCAGGACACAGGTGAGCTGGACGTGGAAAAAGCCTCCTGCAGGCTGGGAGGGGGAACAAATCTAATTTTTAAGGAAGCAGTGAACATTATTCTTTGGATGTTAAGTAGCCAGAAGTTTTGAACTTATGCCACATTATTAAAAATTTTAAAGGCTATTTAAAGGCCATACACCAAACCGCTCGGTGGAACCACAACCAAAGGACCCACAGTGTCCAAGGACAGAACTGGGAAATGCAGCCAAGCTAGAGCCTGAGCTGGGAGGCCACGTGCCAGCTTCTCGGACCGAGAGCCCGAGTGCCGGCTCCGGAGTCTCCAAGGACTGATTCAGTCGTGGCCACACCAAGAACTGCTTTTTCAAGGAAGTTTAGAACCACAAGGTGGCAACTTGCTTCCCCATCAGTTACAAATGCATTCAGTCCTCAGACTCAAGTTTTGAGTTACTCCAACAACAGGCATCAGTGAATGAAGCCATCTCAGGAGGATGTGACATGATCATCCCAACTAACCCACGGCCTGCTCTCCTGGGGCGGTTCCCGCTCCAACATGATCTTTGTCAACGTCATCGGCATGAGCAGCACCCTTCCATGGTCAGACCTGCCTTTGTACAGCTTCCCAGGGAGCATGGCATTAAAATGTGTCGTCTCCCCTGGCTGGTGTGGCTCAGTGGTGTTTTTGTTATGGCAGCCTGCACTGACTAATACACCCTCCTTTACAGATCTGACATGCAGGATTCTAAGAGAGCCAGTGGCCTGCACATCGGGAACAAAGGAGCACAGACTGTTTATTAACGCACTCTCTCTTTCTCCCACTTTCATTCACAAGGCGGCACCATCTGGACCTCAGTGCTGGGTGATCTTACACTGTCTCCATGCCAACAGAGGGCATTAAAGCCTGGGTGGTCCTGGCTCTCTGTGGTCCATGGGCCTCCAGGAGCGGCCGAGCCAGTGAGTAGGTGTGTGTGTGCGTGTGTGTGTATAAGTATATGTATGTGTGCATGTGTGTGCAAAGGAAAGGCGCTCACAGCGACTCCCGGGGGTAAAGATTAGACTGTACAATTGCAGGGTACAGTCCCTGTTGAAGAACTATTTGCCACAGGGTCTGGTTTGAAAACTGCGGGGCTACACAATTATTCTCACAGATTTATGCTTTATACCTTACAGGATTTATAAGGACAAATGCTGCATCTTGCTGGAGTTGTGGGTCTGTTTTTGTGTGCACACACTCCTGTCCCTGAGCACCCGGTGAAGAAAGCATTTACAAGCAGCATGGGAAATCCTGGCATGAATGATGAAACTGTTGTTATTGAGATGAAGGCTGATTAAATTAAACCACTTGTTTTCAAATAGAGCGCACATTACTGAGGGTGCATCTGCTCCCTGAACACTCTGTCTGTTAGTGAATGCCTCAAGGGCCCCTTGGGCTGAATTCTTGGAAACTCCCTGTGTTATACTGACACCCAGTGGACCGAGAAAGTTTCCACACATGAAAATAACGAGTGACCAAGACACCAGGCTCACGTGGCGCCTGTCGGCATTGCCTCCACAGTAACGCCTCACAGCTGTCAATCACCATGTTTCACAGGTCACAGGACTTCTGCAGGAGGTTCCTAGATTCCATTTTTGGGGGGTCCATTACTGGTATTCACGGCCCCCAGGGAGACTTATTCTCTCTTCTCCTCCCTCCTCCTTCTCTTAGACTTTTCTCCTCCCTCTTCCTCTTCCTCTTCCTCTTCCTCTGACTCACAGGCCACATGCCCCTGACAAAGCTCAACCCCAATACTACTTGGTCCCAAGAACGCTGTGATGCTACTCCCTGTCACAGAGCTCAGCTTAAGGTTGGAGTCAGCAAACTACGGCCCTGTACCAAATCCCCGCCTGCTGCCTCGCTCTGCAAATGGCACTTTGTTAGCACACGGCCACTCCTGTCCGCTCGTCGGTCTGTGGCTGCTTCCATGAAGGCAGGGGAACAGCTGTGACAGAAGGCCCGGCCCACGAAGCCGACAGACCTGGTCTGTCTCTGCTTGCTGGCTCCTGGTTTGAAGTAAGGCCGCCTGGTCCCCACCTCTGGAACTTACGAGCGGGGAGCCCAAGGCTTCGCACACGAGGCGTATCCCTGGCTAGACAGACGGGATTGCAGCCATTTTGTGGTAAAGTTTCCTTTTTCAGGGCACCTTCATCACTGGCCCTTCTCCTCCAGAATCATCACTTCCCCCCAGGTCCCATTCACTGGCCTGAGTAACCCCATTCTGTGCTGCTACAGAAACCCTGATACCTCCAGCCAAGTTCTGACAACTCCTGAAGCCCAACAAGGGTCTCAAAGAAATCAGTTCCTGCCCGGCCGGTGTGGCTCAGTGGTTGAGTGTCAACCTGTAAACCAGGAGGTCACAGTTCGAGTCCCGGGCAGGGCACATGCTCGGGTTGCTGGCTCGGTCCCCAGTAGGGGGCGTGCAGGAGGCAGCCGATCCATGATTCTCTCATTATTGATGTTTCTATCTCTCTCTCTCTCTCTCTCTCCTTTCCTCTCTCTGAAATAAAATAAAAAGAGAAATAACCCATCATTAAAAGAAAGTACAGTCCGGACCCTAACTGATTGTCTCACTGTTCATTCTTTAGGGACAGGACTGGTAAATTTGGAAGTTTTATAAAGATACCTGTTATGGCTCCACAAAGACACTCAATGGAAAACTAAGGGGTGGGACTTCTCCCCCACCTATTAGGGAATCTGAGTAAAGAGAGTGGAAGTTCTTTATATTATTTCTAATTCCTCTATAAGAAAACAATTTCAAAATTTACTAACAATGTTTAAAAGTTGATTTAAAAACTCATAGTGGTCTTCTGATCTAAAACAAAGTCAAATTAGTATGGTATCATACACTACATATCTCACTTAATTTTAATACCATGTTAGTGGCATTACTAACCAGAACAACACTACTTGCGTCCTATTTGATTATAAAATCATTGCATCTTAAAGGTAGAAGGGAACTAAGAGACCAACAACTCAAATAAACATCCGTGTTTCCCAATATAAGCCGAAAGAAATTGCATAAAGAGGAAGCAGGTATGAGTCATGAAGCATAGAAGAGGCTCTACCTTGAACTGCTGTTGATCTCCACCCAGCCCAGTTTCCATGACACATGCAGCAAAAGTCCACCAACTAACGTCTGCCACCTGAAAGGAATAAGGGTCCATTTGAATTTTTAAATTTTTTATTTTTTTCCAATCTGAATTTAACTTAACGGTCTTAAAAGCCATTGCCCTGGAAGGAAGATCTGTCGACACAAATATACACATCCAACCTTCTTGCCCTTTTCCTCCCTCTCTCTCCCATTACCACCTCAATGCTCACTGTCCTTCCCAACTTCTACTTACTCCCTTGAATCCATAAGAGCTGACATCGGGCCTCTCCTTACCAAGACCTGCCCTGAACAACTCCCCACAGCCACCTGCATTCCCATTGCCTCTGCACTGACGATTCCCAGTCGCCCTGCTCACCCGAAACCCACAAGCTCCCATATATAACACATCCAAAACCTTCCCTGAACTTCCACCTTCCATCCTGGTCGCCTTCCCACTCTCCCTACTCAGCGAACCAGAAAGCTAGATGCCGTCCTAGCCCTTCCTCCATCCTCACCTCCCTCATTTACTTGAAAAATCCTACTGATTTATCCCCATAACAGTTCCCACGTCTGAAGCCTTTCTTCCATCCCTACACCTCTGCCTACTCAGACTCTCATGGCCTGCCACCTGAACACCAGCACCAGATCCCATCCAGGCTGCCTCGCCCCATTCAGTCTCTCCCTTGAAGCCAAAGGATGTGTTCTAAAATGCAACCTTAAATGTGCTACTCGCTTGTTTTAAAAATGGTTGAGCCCAGCCAGTGTGACTCAGTGTTTGAGCATCAACCTATGAACCAGGAGGTCATGGGTTCAATTCCAGGTCAGAGCACATGCCTGGGGTTTCAGGCTCATCCCCAGTAAGGGGTCTGTGGGAGACAGCCAATCAATGACTCACTCTCATCAGTGATGTGTTATGTCTCTCTCCCTCTCCCTTCCTCTCCAAAATCAATAAAAACCTATATGTATAAAAGCCTAAGCGACCCTTATCGCCGGTTGCTATGACACACACTGACCACGGGGGGCAGACACTCAATGCAGGAGCTGCCCCCTGGTGGTCAGCACACTCCCACAGCCAACTTCCCGTGGCCAGCCAACCTCCTGTGGTCCCTACCCCCAGTTGGCCAGCCCAGATCGACCCTGATCACCAGCCAGGCTGAGGGACCCCACCGGTGCATGAATTTGTGCACTGAGCCTCTAGTTACTAGATAAATATCACTCTATCTTGCAAATAGAGATTATGTTCTCTTCGCAAATGCCCAGGGAATATTCTCCATGAACAAAACAATAGGAGGTGCACAGTAGGGCAAAGTACCTCATTCTACAAATATTTACTGGGTGCATTCTGTGTGCCCGGCACTGATCTAGAGACTCCAGGCATCACTAAAGAAAACAAAGACCCGTCCTGGTGGGCCTGCCACTCTCTTTTGCCCGGCCCTTAGATTTACCTGCAGAGACTGAGACCTCATGGTTATTCTTGCTTCCTTCTCCTTCAGCCCTAGCATGCAGGTAGCCACCAAGGCCTCCTGGACATGGTTAGAACCTGTCCACCTTCTTCGTCCAGCTGCCCCTTCCCAAGCCACTGTCCTCTCTCAGTTACTCTAACAACTCCTAACGTGTGTTCTGGCCCCTGGTCGTACTTTTCTCCAAGATCCCCTCTCCCTCGGAAAGAGGGCACTTTCCCAAGTGGACGTCTGTGTTACGGGCTGTCCTGCACCTGGCAGGGAGCTCAGCAGCACCCAGGCCTCCACTGCCCAGGTGCCTGGAGCAACCGTCCCCTCCCCTCCTCCCGGCTGTGACTACCCACACTGTCTCCAGATGCTGCCAGTACCCCTGGGGGGTGGTGGGGGAGCCATCTGGCAGGGAGCCACTGCTCTAGATCAAGCTGTTTGAGGGGACGGCCCATATCGTCTGCTCTGCCTGCCTGTCATGAAGGCTTTGCAAGGGGTACTGGAAAACTGGATCTGAGAATAAGCAGCTGCTCAGCACCACACAAGGAGATGGAAGGACATTATGTGGTTCTGGGCAGGTCTAGAAGAAGGTCAAGAGGAAGCACGGGCAAACTCTCAGAAGAGTGAAATGGCCTGGCACATTCCCAAGGCTGTGGGCGGTTACCGTGGTGGAATGTGGCTGCCCATGGCCCGAGACAGCACCTGGTCCTGGGGAGGGGCGGGTGCAAGCGCTGGGAGGACTGTGTGTCACACCAATGACCTCGTCCTCTAGGCCAGGGTTTCTAGCCGTGGTGTCGCAATACCTACGTGTGTGGTAATCATTTCTGAGGTCATGTCTCAAGTCATAACTAAAAATATGGCTTTGAAATTTATGAATGCGCTGCCTAAATAAAAAAGCAACTAGAAGGAAACAGGATAAGTTTATGCCTATAGTTCCCCTCAATACTTTGGTATTTTGCTATACTTTTTTCTGCATTGGGAAGGGGAGGGGTGCTTATTTTATAACCTGTGCTCCCCCTAAACTCTGCAGGCTGAGGAAGTGTGTCTCGGGTGAGCTTCATGACCCCACATATGTTGTGGCTAAGAACTGCCACCTGCAGCACTGGGAAGAATCGACCGTTTTTAATATATATATACTAGAGGCCCGATGCATGACTTTGTGCACGGTAGGGTCCCTCGACCTGGCAACAATGGGGCCGATTGAAGCTGTCTGGCCCAGTGCTGATCGGGCAGCCAGCCGAGGCAGGTGGGGGAGTGGAGGGACTGCAGGAGGTTGGCTGACCACGGGAGGTTGGCTGTGGGAGTGCACTGACCACCAGGGGACAACTCCTGCATTGAGCATCTGCCCCCTGGTGCTCAGTGAGTGTCAACCGGTCGTAATGGTCGCTTAGGCTTTTATATAGATAGATTGTATTATTTAGCACATATATGTGTGTATGCTAATTAATATAATTATTATACATATGAAGTTCTTGTTTGTCCAACTGAACTGTCATGGAAATATAGTAGTAAACTTGTCTCCTATTACTAGTATGTTTCTATTTATCCCTGGTATTCCTGCACTTTTGTTTGATAAATGATGATGCTCTGTTTACTGGGTGACAGAGGTTCATCACCATCATTTTCATTTTGAACTGCACGTTCCCGCATTATAACACGTGGCTATCCTCACCTGTTTCATGCTTTCTGTCCTGAATTCAGCTTTGTCTGACATTATGATCATGAGCCCTACTTTTTTGTTTGCGTTTGTGTAATACACAAGAAGAAAAATGAGATGAAGAGCTCTACCACATATTTAAATGCTAATAATTAAAACAATTTAGCATAGTCCCTTCCAAAAAAGTTGACAAAGAAGTACTCAATAATATACCCTGTACTAGATTTTTCAGGGTGATCGTTTCATAAGTTATACAAATGTCTACTCACTATGTTGCAGAGCGGAACAAATATTTTATGTCAACTGTAGCTGAAAAAACTAAAGGAAATTTATTACCAAGAAAATATTTAAAAATAGATCCCAAGAAAATAACTTCAGCCCTGGACGGGGTGGTGCAGTGGTTGAGTGTAGCGGTCAAGTGGAAAGAAGTTAACTAGAAGAGGACGCTCTGCCGGGAGAAGGCGTGAGCCTGCACACAGGCCGCGTCAGAACAAAGTCTTGCACACGAGACTTATTGTTCCGAGGCAGAACTTTCCTTGACGTGATGAATAGTCCATGAGGGCATAGAAAGTTCAGGGTAGGGTGCACTGCTGCAGGTGGAAAGAGTCTTTGTATAATATAGGAAATTAATAGTGTAATGTATAACTTAGCTCAGATGATCTCATAAAGGATGCTTGTTAATCATGGTCACTTGCTGCACTCCATTGTTGTTTGCTGTGCTTAAAAATCAATTAAAAAACATTTGAAAAAGACAGAAACAACTTTATATATTACATTAACAACCCAAAGGCTAGAAAGGGTTATAAATAAAGTATAATAAATGGGAGGCCTACCCGGGTGGCTCGGCTGGTTGTTCATTGTTCTGTTCACCAAAATAAAAAGGCAAAGAACAAAATAAAATTGCAAAAAAAACAAAAATAAAAAAATCCAATAAAGATAATGGACAAGTGGTTGGCATCCTTAAAATATGAGGCATTCATTAAACTGCTAAGAAAAGTATATAAAAAAAAACCTGTAGAAATAAAAGTGTAAACGGGAAATATAGATACTTCACTAGAAAAAAAAAGATGCAAGTGAGTAACAAACATAAGTAAACTGTCCAACTTGATGAGTAATTTAAGAAATAATAAGATAAAACAATGTGATACCGATTTTGGCTCATGAAATCAGCAGAAAAGAAAAAAATAGTCATGGTTCTAGTATAATAATACAGAACTCTCATGTACAGCCTGGTGACAATGTAAATTGGTAAAGCATTTTTTGGAAAAGATTCTGTTAACATTCAAGAAGAATACTAAAGAAGTTCATATTCTTTTTTTTTAAAATATATTTTATTGATTTTTTACAGAGAGGAAGGGAGAGAGAAATAGGGAGTTAGAAACATCAATGAGAGAGAAACATCGATCAGCTGCCTCCTGCACACCTCCCACTGGGGATGTACCCGCAACCAAGGTACATGCCCTTGACCGGAACCGAACCTGGGATCCTTCAGTCCGCAGGCCGACGCTCCATCCACTGAGCCAAACCAGTTATGGCAAGAAGTTCATATTCTTTAACCCAAATTTCTAATGTAGGAATGAAGCTATGCCAACGAAATAGTTGGAAATTTGGCAGAGTTAAGTATAAAAAAAGTCTGATCACTCTATTGTATTTATACCACCCAACTGGGACACAACTTAAATGCCCACTAATAGAATAGTTAAATAAATTACAGTATATCTATTTGGTGAAAAATCCATGCAGTCATTAAACATATTTTAAAGATAAAAGGGAAAAGAGGAGATCTGACTTGGAGTGGTGAACACACTGCATATACAGATGATTTGTTATAAAATCATGAGCTTGAAACCTATGTAATTTTATTAACCAAGGTCAGCCCAATACGTTTAATTAGGAACGTTTTTAAATCTATATTTAAAGAAGACTTGGTGATGCTGGTAGAACATCCCCTGCAAATGTGTGCAAACAGCACAGCAATACTCACCCTTGGAACAACGTAGGGCAGGTAAATTTCAAGACAGACAGCACGTACTGGAAAACAAATACCCGGTTAATGGACGTTTCCAAATGACAGAGAACTGAAAGAATCCACATCATCACGGAAATCTCTAGCAGAAACATAAGAACACGCAAGTTTCAAAAAGGCCTTTATTCCGCCCCCTCCCCACCACAATCACACACAGGGCAAGACACAACACACAGAAAAGCCTTCCCAGCCCTGCTCCAGACAGTGGGCCTGCCTGCTCCCGGGTCCCCAGGGCCTGACCACCTCAGGGGGAGGAAGGGCCACAGGGGCAATGGGGCAGCCGCTGGTCTGATGCTGGACGGTTGACCACGCAGCATCTTCCCGGACCCAGGGCTTAAGCAGTTTTTTAAAAACCAGCTCAGCTAAGGTCACCTTGTATTTCTATTGTCTTTCAATCAGATTGACGGCACTCTACGAATGGGCGGGGAGGGGGGGCATTGTCCTTATGGATATCTTTTGCTACTTTTTTCTGTTATTAAACATTTTAAGAATTATTTAAAAGCCTAATTCTATTAAAGGGCTTTAGGAAGGACTCTACTGATTGCTCACATGCTCTAAACAATGGAACAGAACAGTGCTGGGTCCCTGTGTGAGTTCCTAAATGCCCCAACTCTGGCTCCCGCTGTGCACATGGTTATTAGAAATGACCTTCACTCTCCTCTGGCCTATTTACTCCCATAAGTCCATGTCCCTCCCACTTTCCCCTGATATTTTCATTCTACATCAAACATAGAGAAAGGACTGCGTGAATATCTGGGCCATATCCTGCATCTCCCTTAACAACCCTCCTGCAAATGACAAATATTTACTTAGTTTATTGTGCACTGGGCTTTGTCCTCAAACTTTTTAAACAGGGGCCAGTTCACTGTCCCTCAGACATTCCACACATGCGCACTGCGGGCCCGGGGCGAGTCGGCTGCTTAGCAGGACAGGCAGCGGCAGCAAAAACACCCGGCAGGCTGGATAAATGTGTTCAGTGGCCCGCGGGCCGTAGTTTGAGGACCCCTGTCCTAGATACTGGGCCAGACAGAGAACGCTGCAGCTGCCACTTCACCTCCCGCAAGAACAGTGAGAAAACAAGGAAATCTCTGAACAAAGGCTACCTCTCCTGTCAGCAAAGAGTTGCTCAGACAGAGACCTATTTGGAAGAGGAGCAGTAAGAGCTTCTCAAGGGAAAAGGAGCAATTTGGGGGCCTTGACAAGGAGAACGGATGTGGACTTGGCCTCCAGACGGAAGGGCTAGCACCTGTGAGGGGAAGGACAGGGGGCTGCCTGGGCCTAGGTCGGCTATCCCTGGAGCTCCTGGGGATGGAGGAGTGCCTCCCTCACCAGGCCGCCAGGCCAGGCAGCCCCAGCACCTGCTGTCCACACGCTGAGCAAACATCAACCACTTTTATTTACTTACTAGAGGCCCCATATAGAAATTTCGTGCACTAGGGGGCGGGGGAGAGTCCCTCAGCCTGGCCTGCACCCTCTCGCATAACAGGACCCCTCGGGGGATTCTGGGACCCCTGCTCCTTACCGCCTGCCTGCTCGCTGCTCCTTACCGCTCAGCTTGCTGCCCCTTAGCACTGCCAGGGAGGCGGGAGAGCTCCCCAGAGTGCACTGACCACCAGGGAGCAGCATCTGCGTTGAGCATCTGCACCCCCACCCCCCAGTGTGTGTCATAGCGATGGCAGTTCCACTGTTGGGTCGATTTGCATATTGGGCTTTTGTTGTATAGGATTTTTTTGTTCATCCTCACCAGAGGATATTTCTTCCATTGATTTTTAGAGAGTGTGGAAGGGAGGAGGAGAGAGAGAGAAGCACAGATGTGAGAGAGACTGGTTGCCTCCTGCACACACCCCAGACCAGGGCCTGGGATTGAGCTTGCAACAGAGGTACACGCCCTTGACCGGAATCAAGCCTTCGGTTCAAGGACCAAAGCTCTATACAATGAGCCAAACTGGTTAGGGCTCACCACTCTTTTAAATAGTAATAAGACTAAGGAATGAAACTAAAATGGGCAAGATTTTCTTAATGAACTTCCTTTAGACAAACAGAGAGGGAAACAGTTTGAGAAGAAAACTACAGAGAAATAGGACAATAAAGAAATTAGCATAGAGCAGTGATGGCGAACCTATGACTCGCGTGTCAGAGGTGACACGTGAACTCATTTTTTGGGTTGATTTTTCTTTGTTAAATGGCATTTAAATCTATAAAATAAATATCAAAAATATAAGCCTTTGTTTTACTATGGTTGCAAAGATCAAAAAATTTCTATATGTGACACGGCACCAGAGTTAAGTTAGGGTTTTTCAAAATGCTGACACGCCGACTCAAAAGGTTCGCCATCACTGGCATAGAGTGTTCTCAAAACTTGAAGAAAAGATCCTCTCCATCAACACAAAAGGACTTCACTATTTAAGAGAATTCCTTTGGCAGAGACGGGATGCAGCAACACACGCCCGGGTGCCCCTGGCACAGCCCCTCTCCCACTGGGCCTTTGTGTGGTCCAACCGACTCGCCTTGGCTGCCACAGGAAGGGTCCTGGCTGAGAAGAAGCAAAGCATGACCCGCGTTACTAAGTCCCCACCAGAGTCCCCTTATGAGCAACCATCTCACCCACCCCTACCCGGTCTCCCATCGGCTCTCCACAACTCCTTTCTAAAAGAAAGTTTTGATTTTAGAGAGGAAGGGAGAGAAACATAGATGTGAGAGAGAAACATCGATGGGCTGCCACCTGCATGACCCTGCTGGGGATTGAGCCCGCAACCCGGGCATGTGCCAACGGGAATCAAACCGACTGCACGGGACAATGCTCACTCACTGAGCCACACCAGCCAGGGGTCTCCGTCTCTCCTGACGGCACCTCCTACCCCCTCTTTATAGGGCTCCTCGCCTCCCCTGTCTGCCTGCTGTTCTGCTCCTGCTCTCCATCCAGCTCCCGACACGTCCCAGCGCATCCCAACCAGCACGGACAACGCAGAACGCTGTCTGGCTGACAGTTTACATCCTGACTGATCTGTTACTCAGAGTAGATATTCCTGGGGCATGAAGATTTGGGTTATTTTCATGTAGCACCTTGCGGCGATGCACATAGAAGGTACTCAGTCTTTATTACACTAATTATAAAATGCTGTGGTGCCCAATAAACAAAAATAATGCAAATGTACACCCAGAAGGGTGTAATGTCAGTGAGCGAAACGCTGTCCGCCTGCTGGATCCTTTTTCTTCGTAGCCAATGCCACGACTCGTGGGTTATCATGAAAAACCTGTCACCCTGTCCCTTCTGAGGATTCTATAGAAGTTAAAGGAAGGTCATTCTGTTTTAAATCTATCCATCAGCCCGGCCGGTGAACCAGGTCAGGCTCCATTCCCTGCCAGGGCCCAGGCCCGGATCCGGCTC